AGTTTAGATGGATTTGTAAATCAGGGACTCACCAGGGTGTAACAAACAGCAATGGCTGCCAGTCAGCCATCCCTGCATCTCACACCCCAGAGCAATAAACAATGATTCCTGCGAGCACCTCTGCAAGAAAGACACTTTCACTTTCTGATGCCAGACAGTCCAGTGTCTCCCCGTAGGAGTCTGGGTCCCCAGAGTCTCACAGGAAACTGGAATTCAGAACAGTCGGGAGCTTGTATCTCCCTTTCAATTGAAAAAAACAGTGCACCCAGTCACCAGCCCGATTCTCACGCCTTCCTACCTCTGCTTTTCTGAGCCTCTGCACGTCCTACCCAGTCTCAATTAGCTTTTTTTCTTTCTTCTAGTAGAACTTCCACCCAGCCAGCTTTCCCATGCTCCTGGGTAATAGTTGTTTTGTCTTTTAGTTGTGGTTTTGGTGTGGTTGTGAGAGGCAGCACGTACAGGTGTATACCTTATGCTGCCATTTTGGTTTTTTTCCCCATCGTGAACTTTTTAAAAGGCATAAAATGTGCCAAGCAACAAGGGGTACAACAAAAAGCATTTATTAACCCCCAGTTTCTTCAAAATTTCAGTAAACCAGAATACCTGTTCTCTATCTTCTATATCTGGTTTTGCTGTATTCACTATCAGTGATTATTCCGGTTTTAATATAGAGAAGTGTCCAAAGTTTTTGTACATTTATTTCTATGGTGGCAGAAAAATCTCCGCCTGAAGATTATATAAGCAACAAAAGGTAAATTCATACAGAGGCCGTTTTTGTTTTTTGTTTCTTTCATTTCTGTTCCTTTGATTTTAAACTTTTAAGATAAGAACCAGTGCTTCATGTCAGCAAGGTATGTATTAGGTCTAGTAATAATTAATGTCGTTTTCTAATACTTTTTTAAATCGAATTTATTTAAACAATACAACAAGATTTAATCAACAATATAGTTGCCGTTGTTTTCTACTACTTGTGCCCAACACTCAGGAAGCATTTTAATCCCTCTGTTGTAAAATTCTTGTGATTTTGATGCAAAAAATTCGGTCAATGCATTTTTGAGGCATTCTTCATTATTAAATTTTTTTCCAAGAAGAAAGTTTTGCAAAGAACGAAACAAATGGTAATCGGAAGGGGCATTATCAGGAGAATATGCAGGTTGAGGGAGAACTTCCCATTCCAACTGGTGCAGTTTTTCAGCAGTGATTCTTGCAGTATGTGGTCGTGCGTTATCGTGGTGAAGAATTACGCCCTTCCGATTAATCAGCGCGGGTTCTTTTTCTCTTAAAGCTTGGGCTAACCTTTCCAATTGGGCACTATACACTGCACTTGTAATGGTTTGGTTAGATGGTAAAAGTTCATAATGAAGAAGTCCTTTAAAATTCCACCAAACACACAACATCACTTTTTTCGCTTGCAAGTCAGGTTTTGGCGAGGGCTGCGGAGCCTCATTTTTGTCCAACCATTGAGGCCGCCTTTTCAAATTAACATACAGCACCCATTGTTCATCTCTGGTAACAATTTGCTCTAAAAATGGCAAACGGTTTTGACGAGAGAGGAGCGAACTGCAAATTGTGACTCTTTGATTACGATTGTTGTCGTTCAACTCATGAGGAACCCATTTTCCAAACTTTTGGACTTTGCCAAGTGCACGCAATTGATTGGAAATTGTTTTTTTGTGAACAATTTAAAGTTGTCGCAAGCTCTTGTTGGGTAATTTGAGGATTTTGCACCAAAAGAGCTTGAAGAGCTTCTTGATCAAAATTGGACACATGGCCTCGACCACTCTTGTCATCTAATGAAAAATTTCCCTTGTGAAATTTCTCAAACCAACACTGGCATTTTCTGGCGCTAACTGCATCTTGACCAAGAGCACTACAGATGTTTTTTGCAGCCTCACTTGCTTTTCTTCCTAATTGGAACTCGTAAAGCATGCAGTGCCGAATATGCTCTTCATCCGCCATCTTCTTAGCCCTAGTTTTGCAACAAAAACCAAACCAAACACAAACTTTTTCAAGCAAAACTTGTTAATTGCACTTCACACGTTCTGTAGGTACCACGTGTTTGAAGGTTATGTCAATACAAGTCAACGCCAAGCAAGATTTTAAACGAATGTTTAAAAACGACATTAATTATTACTAGATCCGGTATGAGAGCTCTCATTCTCATCACCTACGGCAGTATCTTTTGGACACAGTGATGATTTGGTCCTTTTATAAAGTTTTCTTGAGGAGAGGAAGTGTGGGAGAATTCTAATGTGTGATAATCTCCAGAATTGTTTTGATTGGATAAAAACAAGAAAATGTAGCCATTGGTTGCAGGTAAGTTCCCTTTAAATGGCAATATTACTGCCAAAAGTAATTCATCAGCAAGTAATAAAAACCAAACCTTTAAATTTGTCCTTGTTTTTTATTTGGGAAGGAAATATAATCTGAAAGCATGAAATAGCCAAGGAACATTTTTAATTCTGGTATCTCATACTTTGAATCCAGAGTTTAAATAAATATCTAATTTTTTTTTTTTTTTTTTTTTTTTTTTTTTTTTTTTTTTTTTTTACTTTTTTGTCTTAAGCTTTTATGGGTTGAATTGAGTCCATTGGTCCTTTCTTTCCCACTCCAAAAAAAAAAAAAATGTATTTTGGAGTCTTACCCCCTCAGAATGCCTTTACAGAGATAAACAGATTATTAGGGTGGGCTAATGGTGCCATTATTAAAAGAAATTCAGACACAGACCCATGCAAGGAGAAGACTGGGAAGATGCACTCAGAGATTAGGGTAATGTTTCTAGAAGGAAGAAATGCCAAAGATTGTTAGCATATTACAAAGTATGTAGAGGCATGAACGGATTTTCCCTCAGACCTCAAAAGGAGCTAACACTCCAAACACCTTGAACTTGAACTTACAGCCTCTAGAACTGAAATTTCTCTATTTCAACTGCCCAGATTGTGGTACTTTGTTATGGCAGCCCTAGAAAACTAGTTCAGAGGAAACCCTACGTTTTGATCAATGGCATTATCAAAATGATAACGGCCTCTCTCTTGTGCACATGTTCCAGCAGAAGTGGTTTGGGTTAAGGAAGGATGAAGAGTCCTGCCTTGGGGGTAAAGGATTGCTGGGTTCTTTGTTTCCTGTGGTGGAACTGCCTCTGGACACCTGTGCAGCTCTGTGACTGAGCTCCTGCCTCCAGTGGCCACCTTGGCTCAGCCCCTAAGAACTGAATGTCCTTGTGTTAGGCTGCCAGTTAAAAACATGAGCATACCGATGATTTTGTGAGCAGAATGTCTACTAACAAAATCAATAAATTTTGAATGACCATTTAAACCATTTTTAAAATTTTCAAATATTGCCCTGGCTGAGGAGCTCAGTTAGAGCACTACCTGATACACCAAATGAATGTATAAATAAGTGAGACAAATTAATTCATTCTCTTTCTCTCTCTCCCCCCCCTCAAGAAAAATCTGCAATGTTGGCAGAATTGAATTTAAAAATGTGACTTACACTACGAATATTTTTGCTTTAAAGCTGATTGAGGAGTTCTGTAAATAAATAGAATCTTACAAATTCATTACACCCTATAAAATTACATTTTTATATTTTACCACAAGGTGGCACTAAAGTGCTGTTGTTTCTGTTTTAGAATGTCCCAGCAGTTTCTGCCAATTAAAAACCAGGCTTAACCTTTAAAAACTACCCATCAAGATACAAATTAAACCAAGAATAGAGTAGAAAGAGCAATTGGCCTAGATAGATATGAGCTCCAGTTCAGCTAATAACTAGGTGTATTTATATGCCTTGGGTGATGTAGTTATCCTCTTCGGGTCTGGTTTCTCAGTAAATGAGATTTAACACATGATTTCCAAAATTCCTATTTCTGAGGATTTAAAAAGTATCATGGAGAAAGAGCGGCACAACATAAGGCAGAATTTTCTTTCAGCGAGAGCTGCCCCAAGATGGACTCTGCTACCAGTGGTCCCATGAGAATGCTCACCCTAAATGTATCTGAGAGCAACAGGGATACAGTTGAGCATTCTTAAGTCCTAGGTAGGTGATGGAGCTAGTCTTGAGGTCCTTTCTCACCCTAAGTTTCTAAATTCCATCAGTTTAAATGAACTGTGAGCTGCTTGAAGGGAGGGACTCAAGATCATACCATATATCCCGAGGCTGCCATGAAAATGTGCCTCTCAAATTTCTGAATGTAGGGAGACTAATTGGCTAACAGTCCTGCCAGAAAGTTCTTCACCACAGGTCGAGCACAACAGAGGTACTAAGGCAGGACTTCCCAGGGGGCAGGGGACTCCTCTCCTGGCCAACTTCATCTTTCCGAACTCTGACAGAACTGCTCTTGCAATCAATCTACACTCACCCAACCTTTTTTCTTTCCTTCTCTCCTCGACATGGAGTCAAAACTGCATCTTGGTCTCATGGCTCTAGAAGTCTCTCTCAGCTCCCTCTTCGTTTTTCCTCACAAACATTTCCCCTAAGAAATCTCTTGCATGAGCAATCCCGTATTGGTGTCTGCTTCTTGAAGGACCCAAATTTGCACCATCTTCTGGCAGCGTTGCTACAGAATATTTAGAATGCAAGACCTCATCCAAACTCTAATTCAGAATCAATGGAGATGGAGTGTCTGTCTTTAAAATCTTCCCCAGGGGACTTACATGCAGACTGGCCTGAATTACTCTCAACTCTTCAGTCGCTAGTAAGAGTAGGTTCTGAGTGAATTCTTTAACAAATCTTCAGCATGACTCGGTGGCCATCTTTCCAGTTTTCTATGGTGGTTTTTCGGCCTTCACTTTCCTATTACAACATCTGGTTTCTTTAACACTCATTTAATTTTTTTTTTTTTTTTTTTTTTTTTTGCCTTGTTTTGTTCCTCAGTCGTTTCTGCACTCACACCTTGGGATTTGTATGTGGTTCTTATAATTCAGCAATTATTCCCTTGAGTCTCATTCTCCTCTTGGGTTAGATTTGAAAAGGAAAGATCAGGAAAAGGAAATCAGATTTAGAGCGTATTTCCGATATTTATCCTAATGCCTTGAAATTTTAAGTCAATACGGGCCTTTAGAAGTAATAAAAAGGGTATCACAGCAGGTTAGGAGACTAAGATACTTTTCGGTGGTGCTGTTTTGAAAAGGTCCATCATCAAGAATGGTCTTTAGTCAGTCACATCGGAAACCTCACTGCCAGTCCTCGTATCCCAGAGATCCATCTGTTCTGCACAGGTGGTGGCATTGGCAGCGGCCAACCATCCTCATCCTTGCCCAAGTGCCAGGTGCAGTGGAGCAGAGAGGACCCAGCAGCCCAAATTCAGCCACTGGTTTAGCTTCAAAAAATGCTTTTGTTAACAATTTTGTATTGTTATTTTTGTGTGTGTGCTTCAAAATGATCATTGCTATTTTAAATTATCCCGGGGGGAGTATGTGTTCTTACCTGTGCCCAGTAGGACCACTAGGGACATTGAGACTCAGAAGGAAAATACAAGTGAGGACTGGCGCCTATGTAAGACTGCAAGCCTCTGTGGCCAAATGTGAAAGCTCCCAAAGCGCCAAGTGCAAACGTGGAGACATCAGAGCATAGGAATGATAGCATTCCTCCTGAGTGCTCAGTTGTTAAGAGTACATGCATATGAGATGTCTGATTAGACCTGATATTCTTTCTTTATTCCCTAAATCTATCATATTTTTAAATGTTTACATATGTAATGTGCAAGTAGATACCCGTGTGTGTGTGTGTGTGTGTGTGTGTTTACATATTTTTAATATACATATTCAGCTTCTAACTTCAGGTGGTAAGTTTGGCAACTATGCTTTTGTAAAGGCAATAGCCATTTTTCACAGGTCATGTGATTGCATCAGGGGTGACTTTTGGATGAAATGATAAACCCTAAGTGACCAGGACAATTTCTGGGCCATTCATTAGAGAAAGGGGGCATTTGAAAGCTTGTAATAGGCTCTTTTTGGCCCATTCTGCAATATAATTTTCAGCATGAGCTCAGCATGGAGACCATAATTTTGAAAGGACACAATCTCAGCGTACAGGGAAAGGAGATAACCTTTGAAGTACATTCCTCTGATTTTACATAATCCTGAAGATGGTTTTAAAGATAATCAGGTTTCAGCCGAGACCGGTTTGGCTCAATGGATAGAGCATCGGCTTGAGGATTGAAGGGTCCCGGGTTCGATTCCAGTCAAGGGCATGTACCTTGGTTGCGGGCATATCCCCAGTAGGGGGTGTGCAAGAGGCAGCTGATCGATGACTCTCTCTCATCGATGTTTCTAACTATCTCTCTCCCTTCCTCTCTGTACAAAATCAATAAAATATATTTAATTAAAAAGATAATCAGGTTTCAGTAAAGGATCAGCACCCACACAACAGGGTTGGGAAACTATGGTCCACAGGCCAGAACTAGTACAACATGTGTTTTCCAAAAAAAAAAGTGTTATTGGAACACAGCCACATCTATTTGTTGTTGGTTTTTTTAATCCTTTATGGCTGCTTTCACGCTACAGTGGCAAAGCTGAGTAGTTGTGATAGCAACAGTATGGCCCATAAAGTCCAAAATATTTCCCACCTGGCCCTATGAAATAAACACAATATGAACAACCCAATAGGAAATAAACAGGTAATGCAAAACAGAGTACACAGAATATCCAACAAATATGTGAGAAGATGCAGTTATAACCAGGAAAATTAAAATTTAAACTATAATTTCATTTTGCATGTATCAGATTTGCAAATAGTTAAGTTTTACAGTATGAAGTGTTGGTAGGATGTAGATTAATGGGTAATGGGGTTTCTTATTTTCTGCTGAAGGAAGCACAAAGAAGTACCATCACTTTTGAGAGCAATTGGACAACAACCCATTGGTGAATGCACATAATCTATGACCCAGCAATTCCACTCTGATACACACACACACACACACACACACACACACACGGGGATAGGGGGGAAAGAGAATACATTTTACAGAAATTCTTGAATGATGAGGAAGATTGTATAAGAATATTGATTCAGGGTAGCATTGTTATGAAAAAAATAAATTTAATATTTTAATGAGGAATGGATAAATACTGGGTATATTCTTTAAATGGAATACAATATGATAATGAAAATAAATTAACAGAAGCCACATATTTCAGGAACATGAATAAGGCTCACAGGTTGAGTGAAAAAAGCAAGTTGTAGAAGAGTATGGGATGATATTCTCTGTAAGTGCAAAACAACACTATGCATTGCTTAGGGATACCCAATATGAAAAGCATAAACATATGGATAGGAATTAATCATCAAGTTTAGGAAAAGGCTCACTTCCCCAGGAGAGAGAGAAGAAAAGGAATATGATTGGGGAGGGGTCCAAAGGGAGCCTCAATTACATTTGTTGTAACATCTTCTTTCTTAAGTTGGTTGCTGTTAACTCAGATTTTTGTTATTTCTGTAAATTAGAAATATTCCATAAAAAGTAAAATCCTGTATATTTCAAGACTTTTAATCCTGTCAATCATAATAGCACTGCCTGAGAGCCCCTCACTCACCCTCTGACCCCTAATCCCCCAAGTTTTTGTTTTCTTAATGAAGCACCTTGGGCCTATTCACCCAGCAGGCAGGACCTCTGCATATGGTACATGTATGCAGGCTTTATATTTACAGGAGTGCTTGGGTGAGGGGGTGAGTGGGACCAAAGTCCAGCTTGTCCTCCAGACAACAGCCTTGTGCCCTTGGCACAAAAGCCCCAAAGTGAGCATCATTCGAAGTGAGTACCTTCTTTGTTGCCCCAAAGCAAAAACACAGCAGCCAGGCTCCGCCTCCTGTGTTCTAGCCAGTGGATATCTTACCTAAAACGTGAAGACAAATTTCCAATTTATCTTTAATGCAAAGCATGTGCAATGTATCAACTATAAGAAACACTAACACTCTGACAGAAATTACCTCTTTTCTAAGTCCTTTGTCCTGCTATTTTGTTTTGCACAAGTTGCAAATTTGAATCCTCCTTTCTTACCTGCATCTGATGGACCAAAGCAATTAATTCTTCAATACAATCTATATTTCTCCTTTCTCCAAAATCCAATGCTCTCCTTTTACCTAAGTTGACAGCTCTAAGATTTTATTCCATGGAAGCCAAGAATAACGTCCCCAAGTGTGGTTCACGGACCACCTGTGACACTTTGATGGGATGCTCATCGAAATGCTGATGCTATGCCCCAGCCCTATTAACTCACCTTGCCTTTCTCATCCAGCTTTGTAGGCGATTCTTGGGCTTACTGAAGTTTGAAAATCACTACTTTAAAAGAAAGGAAAGAGTTAATTAGCAAAATAAAATCAAACGGTTTAGTCTAAAACTGTTATTTAAAAACAAAAGAAAATAAGTGATATCTTGACAGGAGAAATGCTGTCATCTTTCAATGTTGTAAAGGAGAGGTCTGAATGGAATAATTAAGGAACTTTGATTTACAATTTTTCCTCACTTCACCTGCTTATGAGAGTTGCTAGAAAATAATGAAAATTATTTAGACAGTGGAAGCCAATGTAGGGAAGGCTCCAGACCAGAAGCCAGAAGCCTGGGAATTTTCCTGTGATGATCTCTGGCTGAGCACAATATCTGAGAGCTTCAGGTTTATTATCTGTAAAACCAGAGGAGTGTCCATCTGGCTTTAGGTTCTCTTTCACACCTACAGTTATAGGAAATGTGTAATCCCTAAAACCTAAAGTCAAAGCATAGCGTCATATATTGATCCTCTGGCCAATAAATAAATGTATGTTAGCCATATGCCTAACCAGGCATTATTTTTATTTTTATCTTTTAAAATTTCTTTAAACGTGTCATTTTATTGGAACTACCTTTTTTGTTTGTTTCGTTCATCCTCACCCGAGAATATTTTCCCATTGATTTTTAGGGAGAGTGGAAGAGAGAAGGAAAGACAGAGAGAAACATCCATGTGAGAGAAACACATGGACTGGTTGCCTCTTGCACGTGCTGACCAGGGAGGAGCCTGCAACTGAGGTACGTGCCCTTGACCAGAATCGAACCCGGGACCCATGGGTCCTCAGTTGGACACTCTATCCACTGAGCCCATCCGGGTATGGCCAGGCATTCTTTTTAAAGATAAACACCTGAATGCCAAGATGAAAATGTTTTGGTTTAAGTCTGCATTGAGTTATTTTTATTTTCTTTACTTATGTGACATGAATAGTCAACTTTATGACAGGGACATTCTTAACCTTATCTGCCTTAAAGTATTCACACACAAAAATGTCTCTAATATGGAGTAAAACAACCCAAAGGCATAGTAAAAAGCAAGAAAAGAGGTGCCCATAAAATAGTATTTGGTACAAATAATGATTCCTTGGGGTCTATTAAGCCACAAAAGTCCAGAAGGGGAAAGAATGCTGATAATTACCCAACATCAAAGTTGCTGCTGGCTTCTCAATGGTAGTCAGTTAGCACTCAACCTTTTTGTGGTCTGGAGAACTTGTCCAGTATTCAGAAACATCACTTCCTTTGATCCTTACAAAATACACGTGTTTTAGGATTTTTAAGTATGTGAGGAAGCAGTCTAAATTTTGGTCACCAGAATTCTGTACCGTCCATGGCTAATGCCTAAGATTTAGCTACCGAGTACACATAAAGATAGAAATAAAGATCTCAGGTGAAGAGAGAGGTTTGTGGGATATACTGTTCTAATTTGGCATATAGCTAAAACCCAAATATTTTTTGTCGGATTGAGGGAGATTTCTCTCCTCTTCAAAATCTTCTTTTCCATTTGCATAGCTCCCAAAGTTCGCTCCGGTTGAACAGTGGAGAGTCATTTGAAACTTAACTGAAGGTTGCAGGCAAGTTTTATTTTCCAGGTCATCCAGTGCAGGGATCCGATTTCTGCGGGAGGAAGAAGATGGGTGGGGGAGGGAGAAAAACGCGACTCGACGTCTTTCTACTCTTCCACCTTCAACCCACAACCTGCGGCACACATAGAGCCAAGTCAGGGATTTTTGCCTTGAACCACCACCACCACCACCGCCACCACCACCTTGTCACTCACGCCCGATCCGCACGCCCCTTTGGCCCCGCTCTGGACCAATGGCGGCCACCCTTCTTGCATAGTAATGAGCCCGAGACCTCCCCGGGCCAATGGCGCTCCGGGGAGAAGGGCTCGTTTTGCATGTACCTAAGCGATTTGCATAACCGGGCGGCTGGGGGCTTGAGAACCCGAGCGTGCAACCCTAGAAGGGAAAAAGGCCGGGAGGAGACCGAGCCGCGGCGGCGGCGGCGGCGGGGAGAGCGCGGGCGAGAAAAAGCGAGAAAGCGCCGGGGCTGTCGGGGCGAGAGCACGGGCGGGGGCTGGGGCGAGGGGCCGGCATGGCTGCAGGCTGCGCCCCGCGCCCTTGAGGAGCGGCTGCCGCGGGAGGCCGGGGTCGGGTGCGATGGCAGAGCGCGGTCTCCGCAGCGGCCGTGGCGCCCGGCCGGGTCGGCTGGCCTGAGCCGCCGCCGCCGCCGCCGCCGCCGCCGCGGGAGCTGGGCTGCCTCCGCGCGTCCATGGAGCAGCGGGAAGGGCGACACTCCGGAGCCGCGGACTGCTGAAGGCAAGGCGCCCAGCCCGCGCCGCCACCGAGACCCCAAAGCCCGGCTCCCACCCGCAGGCCGACCGGCCGGCAGCCCGGGGTCGCCGGGGCCGTCGGAGGGCAGCGGAGAGCGCGCCGAGCGAGCAGAGGCCGGCGGGAGGCGAGGCGATCGCCGCAGCAATGCCGGGCCCGCTGCTCCGGCTGCTGTGCCTGCTCGCCCTGGGGCTGCGCGGCTCCGCCGAGCCCAGCGGCGCGGCGCCCGCCCCGGCCCTGTGCGCGGCGCCCTGCAGCTGCGACGGCGACCGGCGGGTGGACTGCTCCGGGAAGGGGCTCACGGCCGTGCCCGAGGGGCTCAGCGCCTTCACCCTAGCGCTGTGAGTGCGGGGCAAAGGGGATCGCGGATGGGGACGGGGGTGGGGGTGGTGGGAGGCGGGCTCTCCCAGCTCACCCCCCACCATGTCTGAGGAGGGGGCGCCCGTCACCTGTGTGTGTGTGTGTGTGTGTTGGGGGGGAGGTGTTGGGGGGGGAGTGCCTGGCACCCACTCCGACGCCGCGGGCTTTCCAAACTTGGCCAGTCTGTGTGCGAGCCGCGAGCAGCTCGTTTTCTAGACTTTTCGGGACACAATCACCCCTCCCCTCCTCCCCCCCAATTCCCAAGTGCATCTGGGTGGGGATCTGGGGCCGAGGAGGAATCTGGAAACACTTGCCCCTAGCAGCCTTTTCAGGCGACTTTCCCTTTTCACACCCTCCCCCTCCCCGTCTTTCTTCTTCTCCCCTTCCACCCCCCCCCCACACCCACCCCCCAAAAGCTCAGCAGGCTAGAGGTTTGCAATCGGCAGGGGTGAGGGCACCTAGAACTCTCGAACTTGGCCGGAGTGTACAGACCCAGGCACGTTTCTTGGGTCAGCACCTGGAGCCTCCCGGTTCCAGCGTGTGCAGCGTGTGGGCAGAAGAGACACCTGCACCTCAGGGCGAGCCTCCCTCCAGCTTGGCCTCTGCAGGTAGAGCGACCTGGCACCTCCCGCCAGGTCCACTCCGGCCTCCCCAGCAGATGCCAGGGAGCCTGGAGCCGACAGGCGAGCGAGGCCGAAACAGGGGAGGAGGAGGAGGTGGGGGAGATGGCAGGTTTCTCGTGGTGAAAATGCTCTTCTTACCCAGCGAGGCCTTTTAAAGAAGGAATTCTAACCTGGAGGACAGGATTTTGGAGGAAAAAGCTCCAGCACCCATGCTCTGCCCCATTGGGAAGGTAGGCAGGCCCCGGTGTTCTGCTATCTTGTAGGCAGCCGAGTTTCCCTTTCCAGCTGCCTGCGGTTGGAGAAACACTCCCATGGTTCAGACTTAAAATCTCCCTCCTCACACAGGCCCTTTAGCAAAGAAGAGGTAGCTGAAATCTGTCTTGGGGGGTGGCATTGACACATGCCGCCAGGAGAGGCAGAAGAAGGTAATTGAGTGCAGGGCTAGGTGTATGCTCTTGCTCTGGGGCTGCGGGGCCAGTGGAGTGATTACATCTAGAAAGAACTGTTGGAGAGAGAAAGGGACTGAGAGGCGCTTGGGTAAAGGGAATTTCTTTTCACCTTATGGCTCCTGCAAGGAGCTTAGACACAGGCAGTTTGAGAGAAATGACAGACCCGGTGAAGAAATCCTTTCTCTGCCAGCCAGAGGCGATGCTGAGTTTCCAGGTGGGAGGTGGGAGGTGTCTGCTTGCCCTCTGGAAACGGGGTTGTATTGATGGATAGGCCTGTGGCCTTGGAAGCTGGCTCCTTCGGGGACCTCCCACCCCTTTCTCAGTTCTTCCCCCATCTCAGGTGTTGGTTAGGTATTTGAAACTCTTTTCCTTCAGGATGCTGAAGTTTTAACTTTTCAATGAAAAAAAAAAAAATTGACTTTGCAATGAAGGCTAATTTGCCCACAAGGGTACATCAAGTGGGAAAGGGGGAGTGAAGAGAAATCAGGGCAAGACCTGGGTAGAGAGGATGAGGCTGTTTTTCTCCCAGGTCTTCTTGAAACGTTCAGGTAACTCTCGCGGGAGAGCTGTCTTTCCCGGAAGCCTCCGTCAGAAAAGCATAATTTTACTGTTTTGACCCTTGTAAAGACCTTATGAAGCAGATTCCTCGAGTTTTAATGAGTACGCTTGCCCTATAAGGAAAAGGGCTGTTTTACATTAGTACCTAAAACCATAAAGAAATAGCATATTTTTTTATGAGAGCACGCTCCTCTCTGGGAAGCATCAGGCGTCTTCCTTTAGAGCTCACTGCAGGTCGTGAAATGCTATCTTCTCAACCTGGAGTGTTACAAAATGTATTGTTCATGGCTCGGGAAAGAGAAGAATAATGGGCACCAGTCCAGGTTAGATTGTCTGAACTAGCATCAGCATAGCACTTTCTGAGCCTCAGCAAGTGTGTTTGATTTTCTTCTTCCACCTTAACCTATAGAATGGTTGTATACCCTGATAACGCCTTACTTATGTAATGCTCTTCATCTCACTCTCAAAAGTATATAGTATATGAACACCCCATCTGAAGGGCAGTATGTTTGCATTTGGGGAAACCAGCGAGCCCAGTGATTTTCAAAAGCCACGTTGAGAAGGGGCAGGTGCTGTGGTTCTGCACACTGCAGTGGATCTTTTTTTCTTTCTTTTTTAAATAAGTTTTTATGGATTTCAGAGAAGAAGGGACAGGGAAATAGAAACATCAGTGATGAGACAGAATCATTGATCAGCTGCGTCCAGCATGCCGCCTAGGAGCTGGCAACCCAGGCATGTGCCCTGATTGGGAATCGAACCCTGATCTCCTGATTCATAGGTCCATGTTCAACCACTGATCCACACAGGCCCAGCTTATAGGACACCTTCGATTCATTTGGGGTCTCTTTCCCAATCTGCTCTCCCATCACCGCTTAAGTGGGCTGCAGTTACACACCAACGGGCCAGATCCATGGTTCCCAAAGTTTAGTTCACAGATTCCGGGTTTCTGGAGCATGTTCATCAAGGCCAATTTCATTACACATGAAGTTACAAGCACCAAAATGGAAGTCAAAAAGATGAGACTGATGGTTATTCACCCCAGTGCTTTTATTTTCTCCTCATTCCTCAATGGTGGTGTACTTTCCCCTCACCCAGGAGTGTGTGCATCCCGCTCTGGAGGCCTCAGGACTGACTGAGACCAGGGGTTCCCTCCCCCCTTTGGAGTCCACAGAGCTGGCACACAGTAGGCAGTTAAAAAGGCTGCAGTGGCCAAAACCGGTTTGGCTCAGAGGTAGAGCGTCGGTCTGCGGACTGAAAGGTCCCAGGTTCGATTCTGGTCAAGGGCATGTACGTTGGTTGTGGGCACATCCCCGGTAGGGGGTGTGCAAGAGGCAGCTGGTTGATGTTTCTCATCGAAGTTTCTAGCTCTCTATCTCTCTTCCTTTCTCTCTGTAAAAAATCAATAAAATATATTAAAAGCAAAACAAACAAAAAACCTCAATTGTTTAGAAAATAAAATAAAATAAAAATAAATAAATAAAAAATAAAAAGGCTGCAGTGGGTAAATAAAGACTCAAGGCCACACTGAGGGGCAGAATTGGGAAATGCAACTCAGATGCCATTCCCACATGCGATTGCCCAACTCAGCATTCTCCCCGTGTAGTCTTTTGTCCAGATCTGAGAAGGCCCCAGAGAGAGGATACCTGCTTCTCCTCTGTTCGGCCCGTTGAAACTTGTTCTGTCTAACAGTGTCTGTCTCCTGCTGAAAGCTGCTTAATCTGAGGCTGGGGGCAGAGTCCACAGTAATCCTCGGCATTGTTGATGGGATTCCCGTGTTCCCACCACTTGCTGCACCTGTACTGACTATTTCTGTTTTGCAACGGCAGTTCTCATCCCTGTGTCACAACGCACTGGCTCTGTCCCACTTGACCCTGAGGTGTTTTAAAGGAAGTGCTCTTACTGGCATTCACATTTCAGAGTTTATTGGATCAAAAGGATTGACAGTTCCTTCTGTATTATGGCATAAGGTCACTCTTAATCACCTACATTCCAGGATTTCTTGATCCGGGGAGAAAGAGATGAAGTCACGAGGGCGGTAGGGAGGGGATTGCACACTGGTATGTGTGTGATTGCCACAAGCTTTGAGAAATGTGGACCTGGAGCACAGATTTCCACATCCGAGGTTGTGTCTGGCGCGCAGGCTTAAGATTACAAAGGTTGTTTCTCTGGCTTCATGGAGACCGTGGTAGGTCTGAGCCCTTGATCATTGTCTGGACCATGCCACCGAGTGATTGGCCTTTGGGTAAATCCTTCTACTTTTTCTTTTCTTTTTTTTCAAATATATTTTATTGATTTTTACCGAGAGGAAGGGAGAGGGAGAGAGAGTTAGAAACATCAATGAGAGCGAAACATCGATCAGCTGCCTCCTGCACACCCTCCCACTGTGGATGTGCCCGCAACCAAGGTAACATACCCGTGACCGGAATCAAACCCGGGACCCTTCAGTCCGCAGGCCAACGCTCTATCCACTGAGCCAAACCCATTTCGGCTCCTTCTTCTTTTTCATTTGATGACAATTTCCTCATCTGAAAAACGAATTGGATTTACTAGACAATTTCCTCATCTGAAAAACGAATTGGATTTACTAGACAATTTCCTCATCTGAAAAACGAATTGGATTTACTAGATTCTATCGAAGGCTGCTTGTAGCTTCCAGGAGTTCTACGATTTTATAATTCTTTTTATATAATATGTTTTATTGATTTCAGAGAGGAAGGGAGAAGGAAAGAGAGATAGAAACATCAGTAATGACAGAATCATGGATCAGCTGCCTCCTGCAACCCAGGCATGTGCCCTTGATTGGAATCGAACCCGGGACCCTTGAATCTGCAGGCCAACGCTCTATCCATTGAGCCAAACCAGCCAGCTGGTTTGCCGACTATAAAATTCTTACACAAGTTTAGCGTGGCAAGGTGAGGATAATGCTCTGATCCTCTCACGGAAAGATCCCAGGAGTAGCAGAATATCGCTCTAGTTGAAGTTGCACAAGCCCATTTGTTAGCGCTCACTCGGAGGAGGAGTTCTTTGTGTTTAGGAGTGTGTGTTAGGAAGTTTGCCATGGAGACTTGTTGCAGAATGCATGCCTAGCTAAGGCGCTTTAATAGGGTAGAATAGCCCTGCTTGTTTCCTCTGGGTATGGCTTAACACTTGGAAAATAAAATCACCCAGTTTCAGTAATTTGGATACTGTGCAAGAAGGTACTCCATGTCCTCACTTCCATATAATTAGTCATAATCTCTTCAGCCTTCACAGGGTGTGTATCCTCTCCATTGGCAGGTTATTGAGCTTTCTGTGTAAAATTGATGGGACTTAGAAAAAAAAATTTTTTTTTTTTTAAATAATCTCTTGCTT